ACTGAGGAACTATGGGGATTTCCGGGAACTGAGGTCTCGCTGTCCCTCTGGGCTTGCCAACGACTGGCTATTCCCCCTTTTCATTCTTCAAGACGTATGAGCGGCTGGCAAAGGCTTTTCGAGAAATGGGGACCGTGCATTGGACCCAAACATGGGTTTCACCACACCGGTCCCAATCGCTGGCATGCCTATCACAGGCGAGACAGAAATAACAGACTCGACCAGCGGGGAATTTGGGCCAGAGCTCCAGAGACCTTCTTCTCTGGACAAGAAGAGGAGAAGTGACCAGTCTCTCTATACTTTCAAAATGTTGGTCATTTTCTAGCCCTCTATATCCAGACAGTTGTGGATAGATATTAAGGCTTTACCATCCAGTATTATTTCAAAACCCCATTCCCCCGTTAGTGTTTTCTGAAGTAGCACTGAGAATCTGACTATATTGTATCAGACAGGTCGCGAAGTGCTCTACTAAGACTCGAAGAGGAACCTTGTATACTGATACAGGTCTTTAGCCTGCCCTCATATTCCGTGCGTATTATGGAGTCTTTGGTAATGACATCTTGACTGGAGGCGTCTTCCCAGGTTACAAGCGGAGGTAACAGTACGTCCCACATGAAAAACTTTATCCATGGTCACTCTTTGGGGTTTAACCCCCAGGGGCGTCAACGATTTTATCACGGTGTCTTGTGGAGCGACAAATTTTGCGCGAACGCTTGTCGACCATAAAGACTGATACAATTCTTTTCTCAACCCTCTGTAATCCCAGGGAGTATATCAAGAGCTCATCTTTGATAAAATGTTCGTAATTTTTTGCACACTCCAGGAACTCAGTTATGTTGATTATGCTCTTGGGTGGGGATTCCAGCAAGAAGACGAGTCCACAACCGTTACATTGTCTTTATTGTTGTTGTCATTATTGCTGGCTTTGTCATTTTGGGATGTCTTCTCGGTCGCGATAGTTTTTCCGACTTTGAAATTTGGGCCATTTTTGGCTACCATATTTTTTTTTTTCTTCTGTTCTTCCGCAGTAATGCAATCCGTTTTTTGAACTTCTTTATCTGGCGGCTTTTTAAAAAAAAACAAAAAAAACCTAGCAGGTTCTTTTTAATAAAAAGACTTTTTTCAGTCATTTTATTTAAGGATTGTGACTGTTTTGTTTTGTTTTTTTCTTGTAGAAAAAACTAGGGATCAAAAAAAAAAAAAAAAAAAAAAAATAAACAATTGACAAAACAAAAAAGAAAATAGTAATAAATAAGACGCAAATTAAAATATTTCTGCAGAGAGTGGGGGAAAATAAAAATAAATAAAGCTAGTACAGTAACAATGAAAAAAACTGAACACGAAAGACAAAGGCCAGGTTTACTAGCAAGGAAAAAAGTAAATTACAAAAAGTTTTAACAAGTGAAAATAAAAGAAATTTACCTCAAAGACACAACAAAACAACGAAAAAAGGTTCTTTTAAATAAAAAAAAATAATAAAATCAAGAGCGACTGGAAAAAATAAATCAGACACACGTGTAGCAAAAAAAGGTTCGAAGAAAACAAAATGGCCGAAATAAAAAAAAAAATCGACAAACAATTCTAGCGTATAAAAATTAAACTGGGAAATAAAATTAAAAATTTGGGCTTAAAGCTGAAAGTGGTTAAATAATAAGGAAAGAACAAATTAAATACTTACAACAAAATTAAAAGCAAGAAAAGAAAAATTAATCAAAAAAGACTTGTGCAACACTTAAAAGATGTTACACTTCGAAAAATAAAATCGTCTTTTTGTCGGGATGTGAATGAAATGAAAAGTAAATCGAAAATAAAAAATAAAATACAAAAATCGCAGCAGATGTGATTAAAATAAATGTAATCAAACTAACAAAATTTTGCAGTTTTTGAAAAAATAAAAGGAACACAAATTCAAACACGAATTGCCGTCTCTGGCAGATTTAATCGATTCTGTAGATCCTTCTTTTTGTCTGTCTGTGCGGATCATATTTTATTCAGGTTTTTGACCAAGCATGCAAATTAGCAATAGTTTTAAAAGCACTAGAACCACGCATGCGCTTTACCTAAATTGCAAATGGCGGCTCACACCTGGCAGACGAGACATCGTGACCTCTTAGTAATAATTAGGTTGGAATTTCTTTATCCTATTTCACCACAATATATAACAGGAACACCAAACCAGATTTGGCAGCAATATCCAATATTTGTTTAATAAACAGAACATAGTTCTGAAAATGATGTATGTAAGATTTCACTCAAAGTAGATTTGAAGCACTGAAAAACTGAGTTACAATGTGAGATCCACATCAGCAAGTTATTATACGAGGTCTGTCAGAAAAGTAACGGTGCTGGGAGAGCTGTGTGATTTATGGGCGAAAAGGCGATAAGTGGATTGTGTTATTGTCTATTATGACATCTCGGAAATATATAACTGTAATCTTAGTGTCTGCTTTGTTCAGTGAGCGAGAAGCGACGAGAGTTGTGGCAGAACAAATCTTAGTTGCTTCAGTACGACGGTGCACCTGCTCACAACGCCCTGAGCATCCGGCAGTTTCTGGCCGAGAAGAACATCGCCGTACTGGAACAACTCCCCCTATTCACTCGATCTTGCTCAGCGTGACTTTTTTTTCTTTTCCCCAGGCTCAAAGGGGTTATCAAGGGGACCCATTTTGAAGGCGTGGGGGGCCATCAAGATGGTCGTAACGACGGAGTTGAGGGGCATCAAGCAAGAATGCTTTCAGTAGTGTAGCAGAGACGGATGGGAAAGTTCATTAGACTCAAGGTGGTACTTTAAAGAGAAGACCATGTAGTTTGTTGTCATGAATTGAAATAAATTGTTTGTGACACTAGACCTGTTACTGTTCAGACCGACCTTGTATATGACTGACGGCTGGGGAAAAAATGAAGTATAAGCGACGATATTTGATAATTTTTTTTATTTCAAATTTATTTTTAGCAAATATTCAATTTGAAAAAGCAGTTTTAAAAAAATCACTTGCCAAAGGTCAAGTATTAATGTATGCTTCAATAATAAAACATAGACAAATCCGGATAATGTAAGTACATTGTAAATTATTTTACAATAGAAATGCATGGAAAATCAGAAAGAAAAGAATCTCTTAATATTCAGGAATTAATAGCAACATTGCAGACAAAATAGGGTTATTACATGTAGAATGAAATCACGCTCTAAAGGGTTTATTATAAAAAAAGCATTAACAATTATTTTACTATAAAAATGCATTGTAAATTATTCCAAATTTAGACCTTTTTTTGTTTGTAATAATATCTCAGCTCTTTTTCTTTGCGCTATGGAGATGTTTTAAGCTTAGATGTGTCACAAGTACGGTGCACCATAAGGACCAAACTTGCTATTCAATTGAAATGGATCTAGCGAGACAAGCTTGTTCGCCATTGCATCATATCGAAGTGGCCTAATGATTTTCTAAGCGTTGCTTAGATGTAGCATTCTTTGCTTTATACATCAGGAGATATGTATAATCAGCGGTTAGAAACTGATGCAAAAGCGTTGCTATATAATGTACTGAATTTCAAAGAAAGAAAAAGATAGTGGTCGGAAATTAATGCAAGTGATACTGATAAGAGAGGTCTATTAAATATGTAATGTAAAATTATGCGTTTACTATAGAAATACATTGCAAATCAGGAAGAAAGGTATTGTTGCTGGTCAGGAATTTGCAAGTGTTACTCATAGAACAGGACAAATATATTTATAATTTATTTACCATATAACTTATGCAGATTACACACCGCACTATCAAAGTTCAAACCATCCGAAAAATAAAACGAAAATATTTACACATTTTTTTTTTCTAGGATCCATTGTTCCTGACATATACGATACCATCCATGTTTTTTTTTTATGTTTTATTCTAAGTTCTCCAATCAGGATTAATACAGGTTTCTTTCACAACGCCAAGTTTAGACGGTTCTTAACGAAGTCTTTTGAAGTCTGTGAAAATCGTTTCAAGCGAAGACATAATTATCTTTAATTTATATGAGAAAAGATTTTCGGCGTTCCCGGGCATTGCTGGAGATTTCCGTTGCAGCAGATGGTGTCGAAATGATTACAAAAAAAACAAGACTTCGATTCAGAACGTTTTAGGGCAAGTTTTCAAGGTGTATGGTCGAAAAAAAAAACGCGAAGCTAAGAAATTCAAATATATTTTCATATTTCAAGCCTTTCACATCAAGTCACAGCCGACAACGAAACTTGACCTTTTACCTCACAACAGGAAAACAAGAAAAAAAAAAAAAAGAAGCTTACTTGTGGTGGAGGTAGGGGGTCGGTAACGCTCAATTTTTTCTCATCTAAATTAACGTTATGACCGTCTCAGGCGTATACGCCTTTCGGATAGTGAGGGAAATTTGTAGGTGTTTCGTAAAACGAAGTAGCATATATTAAACTTTAAAAAAGCGTAGGATAATTGTATTTTAATATTTAGTCTTATAAATTTGGTTATGACTTATTATACTAAGGTCAGGGATGGATCAAATTTTCACCATTTAAATTAAGTGTAATTGCTTCTTCGCTTTACGCCATTCCGGATGGCATGGAAAAATTGAAGATATTTATCAAAGTGGCGCATATAGCAAATCTTCGAAAGGCAAGGGTTACCAGTATTGTAATATTTGATCTTAGAAATTTGATTATTCACTTAAATCGGTGTCCGGGAACGCTCAAAATTTTACCCATTTAATTTAATGGTAAATACTTTTACGATTTACGTCTTTTCGGATATCGGGGGAAATATTAAAATCTTTCGTAATAACGAACTTCCGAAAATCGAGGGACGTCTGTATTGTAATATTTGGTTTGGTAAATTTGGTTATTAACTTATCATATTTGGGTTTGGGAACATTCAAATTTTTTCACATTTAAATTAATGGTAATTGCATCTTCGTTTTTCGCTATTTCGGATATCGGGGGAATTTTATTTTTTTTCGGACTTTTGTAAAAATGTAGCTGGGGCACCTGTATTTCATTTCCGAAACAAACACTTGAATGAATCTTTCAAACTTTTCCTGAAATTATCCGAGAAGAATGCGTACAGGAAAGGATTGAGTCCGCTGTTCATGTAGTATAGTAAATAGCAAATCGGAGAAAGAAGGCTGCCAATGTTTTTCGTGTCTGTCCACAAATAAACACACGCCCTTATGTGATAAGGTAACGTCAACACCGCAAACGTACCAATAATAATCAGGAGAAGCCGGATAACTTTTCTCCGAGCCTGCATCACTTTTTGGGTGTTGACCAGCGGTTTATTACGAAAATAAAAATGGCGTCCGCTGCTGGTCACGGCTTCTATGTTGTTACGTTCGCCGTTTTCAGTTTCTTTTACTTTCCTGCCCAACCCGCTTCTGACGTTACTCCACGGTTTAGACGATGAACTCGACGGTTTGGATTGGTCGCCGACGTTCATGGCTCCGATATGCGGCTCTCCCTCCGTTTCTTGACACCAGCTGCCACATACCCCGCATTCGTTCATGTAAACTTCCGAGTTGCTTTCGGCGTCTGAATACTCCGACATGGAGTCGTTTTCTGTCTCCTCGCGCGAAACAACAATGCTGGTGTTTTGAAGCCGAATCACACCGCTATAACCGCCAGGCTTCTGTACACTTAACATTCTTATACATTTGTTTTTTTTCGATACATGTACTGCAGGAGCGCCGGGCTTCTCTGGCCGTTCAATGCCGGAAGTCCTTGACGCGGTTTCAGCGTCCATATTGGTATGACGGGCGCTCTCTTCGGGCCTTTTCATTTGAAGTGCAAAATTCTGCGTGCTGCTGCTACGCCAAAGGACCGCGGCAATCTTACAGTACATGAAGCTGAGGACAAAGAGAGGTAGAATGTACCAGACGATGAGATTCGCGAGAACGTATGCGTTTGTGTTGATGTTGTCGGATCGCATGTAACAGAAGGTCTTGTCACCGAGAGTGAATGTATCGTGGACAATAAGCTGCGGGGAGTTGTAAGCGGCCAGAAAAAGCCAAATCAGGGCCTGGGTGAGCCGCAGCCGGCGGAAAGTGAAAAGCTGCTTCGTTTTTAGAGGATAGAGGATTGCCAGATAGCGCTCAATCGAGATGACGGATAAAAGGACAACAGGAATCGTCAGGCTCATGTAATGGGTGAAATAGTATACTTTGCACATGACCTGTAATTAAAAAAGAAATAATTATGTTAAAAAAGAAATAATAGTAATAACAACGACGCTCGATATACGGGGGTGTCCCCCCCACCCACAAAAAACATTTGTCATAATTAAAAATGTGAATATCTGAGTAACTATATGTCCCAGGAAAACGAAATTAAATAGGCTCTATAGTGAACAATAGAATAATTATTTCTCAAAATTTGAACAAAATATTCAAAGGGATGTAGATTTTATAACCGATTTCACAAAGCTTCACAAATGTCCAATATACGCACCACCTGTGACACAACACGTTGTGAGGTGTGGGGGTGAAGATATTCTGAAATCCGCTGTGTACGCTGCCACGCATGAAAAATAGATATTTTATTCATTAAATCGTTTTTAATTAGATAATTTTTCTATTTTACGATTCAGAGAAGATTCTGTAAATGGGCTTCCAGTTTGACTAAAATGGAGCATTTAAATTCTCCCAGGATTTGATATTTTTTTCATGTTGTACGGCTTCACTTGTCACTTTTGCTATGCCAAGCGAAGGCTCGTTATCACTTCCAAAAAGGCTCGTTATATTCGAGATTTCTTAGACGCCGGTACTAGTAGTAACGCCTTTCAATAATATCCGCACTAGTAATACTTGTTCCAGTAGTAATCGCCAAATAGTATAATTTTATGATCACGTGACCAGGGCCTGTTGGGGATAGAGGATTATTCTGCAATAATATCCGCACTAGTAATACTTGTTCCAGTAGTAATCGCCAAATAGTATAATGATCAGATAAGAATCGTAATCCGTATAGCACTAGAGTAGAGAGAGTGAACGTGTAGCAATAGTGGATAGAGAAGAATTGAACAGTGGTCGTATAATCATCACGCTATCTCCTATTTCTTCACTACTTTTATGATCACGTGATCTACTTAATAATGGAATCGTCCGTGCTACTCAGTGGCGATCTAGTTTCAAACCACAATGTCGGCAACGACACTTACTCTTATATAACTTTATAATATAGACATCAAGCACTACAAAGAACTTCTTAAAATTCATAAAATTAAATAAGTAGAGGGTAACAGAAGCCAAACAGAAAAAGGGGTTTTGATAAAGAATAATTCAGATATTTGAAACGTACGAAATTTCTTCAGAACATAAATAAAAATTGCATTAAATAAATCAAAATATTTATCAAAATTCGAACAAGATATTCAAAGGGATTTTATAACCGATTTCACAGTTTCACAAATGTCAATATATGCACCGCCTGTGACACGATACACGTCAGGTTGATAGTCTAGCTCCTGCTAAACACGCTGTAGCATGTCTTGCGTAACATTCTCCAGCGCCTCATTGATTCTCTGCTTAAGTTAGGCTAGGCTTGCATGAAGAAGTGAGGATATAGATAAGTCGTCATACATAGCCCCATAGAAAAAAATCACAAGTTGTCAGTTCAGGTGAATATGGTGGCCATTTCAACAGCACTTTGACATTATCACTGGAACGGCCGATCCACCTTCCTAGTAGATTCTCACTGACATAACCCCACAGAGTCAACTTAGTTTTTACACATTTATTAAAATTTGAGATTACTTTAGAGAGAATTGGTTATGTTATTACATTACAAAATGATTTCATTTCGGGGGTACATTCGTATATACAATAGTATATAAAACATGTAATTGAAGACATTTCAGATACCGGGGGAAACGTTTAAGTCATTCGTAATAGGGAAGTTGCAAAAAAAGATAATTATTCTAGAATCTACATTTAACATTATCACTTGATAAGACACCAGAGGTGTTGAAACAAAATGGCTATTTTTGTAGTGATTTTATGACATATTTGTGTTTTAATTTTTAAATAAATAATTATATATATATATATATATATATATATATTAGGGCGTGCAGCTTATATTTTATATCATAAAGAAAGAATTTATACAAAGAATTAAATAGCAATGATAATGTAATTTATGGCGAAATCACTTCGCTAAGAAAAATTAATGAGACATTAACCTACTATCGATTCCTTGAAAAATAAGATCCTTATATTCGAGTAGATGTCAGATGGAAGATTTATGCCGAGTACTTTCAACAATTTCAAATTGTCATTTTTAGGGCGCAATTTTTTCCATACTTAGCCAAACACTAAGACGAAATATCTGTAGACCGATAGATGTTTTTTTTTAATTATCAAGAAACTGATAGTAAGTTAATGTTTCATTAAGTCTTGTTAACGAAGTGATTTCACCATCAATCACATTATCATTGCTGTTTAATTCTTTGTATAAATTGTTTCTTTATGATATAATATATAAAATGCACTGTTATGGTCCAAGGTTAGGACCATGGAATAACAACACTAAACACAAGAGTAGAAATAACAAAGAATATATTACGCGAAAAATAATAGAAGAAGTGGAAGGTGTTAGTATGACTGTCAGACTGGTTTGGAGTGAACTACTATCAGCTCGACTCGATTCAATACCGATATTTAGCAGTCCTTCGGCAAAGCTTCGTCCGGGTTCCTCTCTGCCAAAGCAGAGAGCTCGGACTCGATTCAATACCGTCCGTCTCTCTTGAGAGGCGTAGTATATATAGCGTTAGGAAGAGTTCATTCTGTCGGTCTAGGTAAGGACCCATGACATGCACACTCTAATATATTTGCGACATTGGATCCGCAGCACTGTAATAACCAGAATTTTAAATTCTGTGGAAAACTACAAAGACATTTTTACTCTACCAATTGGATTATACTTAAGTCCATTTCACTTTGACAGATAAATACATATAACAAGAAAATTTCGTGGGTTTATAACTTTTCAAAATTCAAACTAAATTCTCACGTGATCGATTTGAACAAGAACTTTAGCGTCGCGGCATCGCACGCCCAAAACATATTTAACTGTCAATAAATAGCATAATTTTAAGAAAACATCTTTCGGGTTACACATATTTCGTCTTTTGCCCATATATGAAAAAAAAAATTGCGCCGTGATGATGACAATTTGAAATTTTTGAAAGTAATTGGCATTCATCTTCCATCTGACATCTACTCGAATATAAGGATCTTATTATTCAAGGAATTGATAGTAAGTTAATGTCTCTTTATATATATATATATATATCTTCATTCAAACATGTGTCATTGAATAATATAGACATATTGTGTCTACTTATTTTCATACGGATCCTTTCCAGTTGTCTAATCAGTTTCTTGATGTTAAAATGAAATTCATCAAGGAAGGCGCCGTAGTTTTTTCTAACTGAAGTACTTTCGATCTTTTCCACGGTCATCTTCAGGGGTAAATTCCAATGACAAACTTATTGTAACTGTGATAGAATCTGCATGTGACGATTATTTTTAAAAACACAAAGAAGGAAATGGAAAGGGTCAGTATAAAAATAAACAATATTATTCAATGAAACATGTCTGAATGAATATATACTACCTATGGGTGAGTATGTTTATAAATGTCTATATATTGGAACAATATAAGGCAACTGAATGTCAAATCTGGTTAATTTTTTTAAAAAATTTGAAATGTATCATTCGCACCTATTTGGTAATTCTTTTTGAATCTGTTCACTCTAAGCAAGGTGGTAATAACCACTAAGTCGCAAGGGGGTACTGGGAGTGAACGAGAACGAGAAGACTGTAGAAGTGTCATGGGTCCTTACCTATAACTACAGAATGAACTCTTCCTAACACTATGTATACTACGCCTCTCAAGAGAGAGGGACGAATCAAGCCGAGCTTCTCGGCTTGACGGTCGAACTCTCTGCCTCTGAGCAGAAAGGAACCCGGACGAGGCTCCGCCGAAGGGCAGAGTCTCGTTCGGGGAGGTTGACCAACCCGATCTCGTTTATACGGGTTATACGGGCATTTTTTGGCCGAGCCTACGGGCTCGGAAAACCCACGTTAAACTCGGCCTTGTGCCACATGCAACCCTCGTGGGAGGGTGGCTAGATACCGAATCAAGCCGAGCTTCTCGGCTTGACGGTCGAACTCTCTGCCTCTGAGCAGAGAGGAACCCGGACGAGGCTCCGCCGAAGAGCAGAGTTTCGTTCGGGGAGGTTGACCAACCCAATCCCGTTTATACGGGTTCTACGGGCATTTTTTGGCCTACCCTACGGGCTCGGGAAACCCACGTTAAACTCGGCCTTGTGCCACATGCAACCTTCGTGGAGGGGGTGGCTAGATACCGAATCGAGTCGAGCCGATAGTAGTTCACTCCAAACCAGACTGACAGTCATACTAACACCTTCCACATCTTCTATTATTATTTCGTGTAATATACCTTCGTTATTTCTACTCTTGTGTTGTTCTTCCTTGGACCTAACCTGGACCATAACAAGAAGGAACCGAAAACCAATTCCTAAACAGGAAACAAGGGAAAAGCCTCTACCTCTGTTAAAAAGAAACGGGGAAGAGTGTGAACCGGACGATAGGCGAACCCAGCTACTACTATTGAAAAGAAAAAAAATCAGAATTCAGGTGAAGACATTAGAAGTATAAAGTTGAAATAAACTAAAAAGGTAACCTGAAATCCAATCCCAAACAGGAAACAGGGGATAAACATCTACTCCAGGTCAAAAGAACGGGGAGGAGTGTGAACCGGACGATAGGCGAACCCATCAACTCCTATTTGGAGAAAAGAGAAAATAAATAAATAATTAGCCAAAGCTCAATCGGAGATATTATGAATATAGAGTTGAAATAGATTTTAGAAGGAACCGAAAACCCAGCCGTAAACAGGGAACAAGGGATAAACCTCTACTCCTGTCCAAAAGATCAGGAAATTGGTTATACTTGGAACTGATGTTTACCACCCCCACAGTAATTTCATCAATAAGAACATCAATTTAATCTGATGAAGTTCTTTTAGAGAACAAAACGCATCCTCAAAACACACACACACACACACATATATATATATATATATATATATATATATATATATATATATATATAT